TCTCTCTCTCTCTCTCTCTCTCTCTTCTCTCTCTCTCTCTCTCTCTCTCTCTCTCTCTCTCTCTCTCTGTTTCACATTTTTCAGCGAGTCGATTTATCTCCGTTCTGCACGATCATTCGCGGCAACTTTTCGTCACAATTGTCTTTGTTACAAGACTGTCTACATTTTTCTATTATAAATATTTTTTTGAAATCGGTGACTCGAAACAAAATCAGTTTATGCGCGGCACGTACAAATTGTCTAGAAATGTCTGAGTTTCCGCAAATAAATTTTAGTCAACTTTTACTTTCGTACCCGTTAATGAATGCAACGGGTAACGCGTGTCGTGCTTAGTACGTGCGGTCGATGTACCGTCCCCAGAAGAGCACGAAAAAACGTATAAAAAAAAGGACGGTTATGTTCGGCGACGGCACGGTTTTCTACCCTTCGTCCTCTTTTTTCCCCGAAATCCGTATATGTCTATGCTGGTCGGGTTATCGCAACAAACTACCCCAATGACGACACGATTAAAATTTCACGGCAAGCTGCATGAGCTCGAATGTGCTCTCTCTCTATCCCTCTCTCTCTCTCTCTCTCTCTCTCTCTCCCCCTCTTTCTCCCTCCTCTCACTCGCTCTTTCTCTTTCAACGAGCCGTTTCTATATGATCCCTCTCTACGCCGTGACTGCCCCCGATCGTCCGGTTGCCGGTTCTATCCGATCCCCGTAGCCCCGTCTCTCGTCCCACGGCTCCGCCACCCCCTCGTCCCTGTCGGGTGATTGGTACGCGACCACAGCCACCCCCGCTTTTTAATACACCCGCACCTGCATAGGCTGCACCCGCAACCGGTGAGCCGCCATACCATATATATACGTGACGGGGTGCATCCAACCCCTCTACGCGCGAGCGGCATCCCCCCCTCGTCCCCCCCTTTTCCGGGCCGGTTCCGGCATGGAACTCGTGGCCCTCGCGTCTCCCTCGCGCCAACGCGCCGCGTCAACGTCACGGTATACTGAGTGATTCATCGATCGAACGTATTCGCGTCGTCCCTGCGTCCATTCCCCAAAATAGCGACAAAGACTAGTCCTCCCGTGGCGCGTAGTTCGTATACAGGCTAGCGACACTAAAACCGCCGCCAGCAAGTCGCCGGATATAGGAAAATGCATTTCGGGACAGTTCGCGGGCTGATTGGTTGATTCTTTCGATCACGATAACGAACGGAGCTTTGTGTGTCCTTCACAAATTCTGACAGCTGTTTTAAATGCAGGGGAATGCAACTATCGTTTAACATATTAACCGAATCGGTCGATTGTACCAAGTATTTTTAATCTCAAACATAAAATTGGTTTTCGTATAGTTTCTAATTAATTAATTTTTTTAATAAAAGTTTATGAGAATATGAATTATAAATATGGAGTGTGTTATTATGTGTATACGCTTTTTATTTTAAATAGTACAACATAACCAAAAATTAACACAGAATTACTTTTTTTTTATTTATTATATTGTATCGAAATTAAGTACGACCGTAAAACATATAGACACCGAGAAAGAGAGATAAGAATAAACACGGACATATCAATAAAATAAAAAAAGAAGAAATACGCAATCGCGGATAGAATAAGAAAGATCGCTTAAGGGGGGGGGGGCACCCGTTTACCCCTTTTCCACGTTGGCGAAGGTGTTGAAGCTCAGAGAAAAATATCTCAGCCGTAAATAAATTATAAGAGCCGAAAAAAGTTTCCCAGCACGCCGGCATCCCGCTCGCCGGAGTTCCGGATAGCGCGACGCTCGCTAGGAGAAGGTCGGAGGTGTACTTTAGTACTTTTTGTCCTTCCAAGCTGCCACCGGCCCCGCCCGACCCTCCGCCTTTTCCGTTAGGAGGGTGTTCCTTTTTTTTATTTTTTCGCTACCCTCTCTCGCCAGCCGAGCACTTTAGATAATAAGGCCAGGGCGCTCGCTACGGACGAAAGGGTAAATTGGGTATTCGTCCGAGGAATTATCTCTCTAATTTCTTTAACGTACCAGTCTCTCACCTTCCGTTCCTCTTATGTATGTATAATTTCCATCGCACCGCGCGCGCTACCTCCCTCTTCCTTCGCCACCGTCCCACTATCGAGACAAGCTCGAACCCTATCAGCGGATACCGGAGTCTCTTCGTGCTTCCTGAAGATGAAAGCTTTAGCTGGAAAGATTAGAAATATCCAACACCGCGTGATGTAATTATTTTGTCGATTCTTTTGATGCGGTTCGACCAGTTAGATTCGCCACAGCCATTTACTGTCTTTTCAATATTCAGCATGTTAATTGCTAGATAAACGTAACTTATCTTGAATAAATTAAAAATATATGCAAATCGAAAATTATTCTTTCCATTTTGTGCAAGTACTCGTATTAATATAAAATATATTTCGAGGAAATGTTTCAAACATATAAATGCAACTTGTCTGCAACGTAAGACGTCCGCTCCTGTCTTGCGGGAGATATAACAAAACTATTACAAGCAACACGCTGAAGCTAATAATAACAAACGATCGACGATGCAAGGGAGGATGGCGATGTAATTCGTACAAATGATAGTTCACGACTATCGGTCGACGAGGGTGGAAGCCCGTATCCATCGAAATGGCCCTGAAATTAGATCCCACCCTTGGCGCAGGTCCGAGTTCGACAAATTCGGTTAGCCGGATGAAAAATGAAGCGTTACTATCGACAGCCCAGCAATGAGATCAGCCGGCTGTACAATTTCTTTCGCAAGCTAAAGCCTTATTGCGCCCTTATACGCGCGATTATAAACGCCAGAGTTTACGCGAGATTCTATTAAGTTTCGAAAATTAATTTTACTAAATTTAAATCCTCTGCAGTAATGCGCACGTATTTTACATTACAATGAGTATATTACAATTAGTTTTGACGAGGATTGCTTTACAAGTCAGTCTATCGTGACTCTCTCCCGCGGATCAGATGTCAACGCAGAAATAACTGTAAGAGAAGAGGTTTGTTCCTCGTGTAGCCCGAAGCGCTCGTCATATTATGTTTGCTTCTGGTGTTTGCGACTCCCCGTGCTCCGGATGACGATATTTCGAATGAAGGGTGGCTCGGTAAGGCGTATATATCCGTATTTGTTTCACATGAGCATGAAATATATTTAATGATCCGCGACGTAGGATAGGAATCTAGCAATTAAGAAAAATATAATTAATTTTTCATCGCAGATATATTTCTTAAAAATTATGGAAACAACCGAAGTCTCTCGACGGTGATTTTTATTTTAAGTATTGCTGGGCAAATCCTTGAAATCCTCTATTTTATTCACGTGGATATTCAGCGGCAAAATCGAGCTTTACGGCAAACCGTGAACGACCTTAATTCCATTTAGGTGCGCTTTCCAAATCGTCGGCAGCATCTTTTCAATGGTTGAGACGAACGAATCGAACGGAACGAGTCGATGAAAGGGGAAGCGAAGCAGGAGGTGGTAGCGTCGCCAAAAGCGTAACTCTGCCAAAGACAATATAAAAGTTGGGAGGGTCTCGCGGGATTGGAAGTCGTAAATATCATCTGCTAAATAAAGCTTCATCCTCGAGTACAACTCGGGCGATGGTGAAAACCCCTTTGCACCACGCG